ATAAATTGTGTATGCATATATACATTCATGCATCACACACTTGTACTTGAGCACTAACAAATATTATTCATAGTAAATAAGTTTTCTCTTTGAGAAAGCTTAAACTTTTCTCAAAATTTACTAAAAAGTTAAATTCATTTTAAATAATTTTGCTATATATTTTATGTTTATTTTCAGTGGCTTTTATTCTATATAAAAATACTACTTTATAAAATTTAGCAGCAGCAAGAGTAAGGGTTGGGACAGGCAAGCAGGCCAACCTCTCTAATTTCATTCCTATGGGGCCCTCACTTATTAATATTGTAGTTCTTCTCTATTTAGGCCAGGCATACATATGCAATCATACACGCACATGCCACATTTCAAATGCAAGCGGGTAGAAAGGCACGCATACATGTATACACATTTACCTTCTTCCTTTAGATTGAACTTTTGAACTACGTTTCTGTGACTTTACTGACAGGAAGTGAGTAGGATTAAAATTATTCCATGATCCTCTACTTTTATGTCAGTTTAGCTGGCTTGTTAGCTACTTACTTTGCCTGTCAGAGTTACAGTCCTTCCTGCTTTGAAGCATTCAGATTAAATGGACCTTCTGAGACAGACTTTGGGGACCAACTACTATTTGTGAAGCCTTCTCCTTGGCCTTTAGATTGGGATCAAAGTGTAGTATCTGTTCTATTTAAGTATTAAAGTTATGAGTGAAATCTAGTCCCAAGATTTGATTGATTTTTTTTTTTATAGCTTATCAACCTTTTGCAGGTTTTTAAATCCAGAAAATATTTTTAGATTGTAAAAAAGATTTTGAGATAATAATGATTTACTGATACAAGTTCTGCTAATTAATTCCTAGCAGGAGGGGAGAATATGTGAATTCATACTTTTCCCAAGGGCATGTGTGCATAAGTAAATATAATGAACTTAACTGGAACTCTGGTCTCTGATTTCCAGTTCTGAGATATTATCCATTAAACCAGCCCACATCTAAGCTTACAATCCAAAGCAGTCACCCATCTAGGTACTGGCTAAGCTTGACATTGCTTCACTTTGGTGACTGTACAAGAACTGGTATCTCAATGTGATATGGCTGTAAGCTCTAGTCCCAAGGATTCCAACACATTTGTCATTAGACTAAAGAATGAGGGTTGGTGGATACTGACACCATGTGACAGTGGTTACAGGGACTGGGAAGTTACTGTCCTTGTTTCAAGGTGTTCTAATAACTTGGACCAATTTTAAATGGTAATTAAGTTTAAGCCTATTACAAAAATAGGCGTTCAAACAGAAATGCATTTTGCGCACTTCGTGATTTTTTTTGGTCAACATAATTAACCAACCAAGAGTGCAATTGGAAAAATTGTTCATAAATTCAAGCAAATTGGATTGGTAGCAGATGTGTAAACACCATTGCATGCTCATTTATGCCGTTCAGCTGAAAACATTGGGTGCACAAGCAAAGACAATCTATGAAGATTTTTCACAAAAAATCCTCTTTATTGATGAAGCCCATTTTCTTCTTGGTGGATTCGTTAATAAGCAGAATTGTCACATTTGGGCTGATGAAAAGCCAAGGAAGATTGTTGAAAAACCATTGCATCCACAAAAGGTCACTGTTTGATGTGCATTTTTTGCTAGTGGAATCATTGAGCTGTATATTTATAAATTTGAACATCCATTTTTGTAATAGGTTTCAATAACTTTAACACATTGTTTGATTGTTAATCTTTCCATGATTGAAATTGCCAAAGACTTAAGTTGTTAAATCTGAAAGAAAAAAAATCATTAGACGCTTAAACTTAATTCACATTTAAAATCGGTCCAAGTTATTAGAACACCCTATATGTGTGTGTGTGTGTGTGTGGGCACCCCACATTCAACTGATCTTGTGCCATATCCTCCCACCTGGGGAGGTGGGTAAATAATGGATCAAAATGCACTATTTTCTCTTTCTTACTGTTATGAGAGAAGCCTGGTCCTGAGGATTCCAACCCTGCAGCAGTACCTTCCTCATGGCAATAACTCTTGAGGGGGATACCAATGACAGTGATCACAGGGAAGAAACTTATACTTAACATCAGAAAGAGAGAGTTGAATTTTCTGAGGCACATAATGAGGAAAGAGAGCTTGGAAAATCTAATACTCACAGGCCAGATTGAAGGCAAGAAGAACAGGAAAACAATGCATAACATACATAGTGATTAAATGGATGATGGAACAGGGTTTAGAAGAAATAAGAAAAAGATAAAATTTATTAAGAGATATATAGGACCGGAAATTGTGGAGAGCCATGATCACCTATGTCCTGAGGATACACAGCACAGATATATATATATATAATCATAACTCCCCACAACGGTGTCTGGCCACATCACATTGAAACACTGTTTCCTGTATAATCACCAAAATTAAGTAATGTTAAGCTTGATCAGTACCTAGATAGGTAGCTGCTTGGGAGTATCAGGTGCTGTAAGCTTGGATGTGCATGAGGTGTAATGGATAATGGCTTGAAATTGTTAATTAGAAAGCCAAGTTCCAGTTGGGTTCATTATAATTATTTATGTGCAAATACCCTTGGGAAAGGTATAAATCCACCTCTGCTATGGATTAATTACTAAGACTTGTATCATTAAACCATTATTATTATTAAAAAAAAAATTGGGCTTTAAGTAACCTGCAACAGGTTGATAAGCCATAGAAAATGAATCAATCAAGCAAGCTTCATTGACTATGAATTTTACTCATGGTTCAATTTCATTGGAAATATTTTGAGTAATGGTCATTGAGAAAAGAATCTTAACTGCATTGTTGAGTTAAAATAATTTAGTCTCAATTGTCTATATTTTCAATTTGGGAGCACAATATCATTCTTTGCATATTTTTTTCCTGTAAGTTGGTTTTCTTTTCTGTAAGTTAACACAAGTTTAGATTTATTTAACAAGGATTTTAAAATTTATTCAAAATTATTATACTCCTTACCTCAGCATATGATTTGTGGATATTCCAATCTGTTAGATGAATACCAAGTTCTTAAATTGTCTGACACTTGACAGATGTGTGTTATATTTTATATGGTCGCATTAACAATGACATCTACAGCATTTTTATGTTCTATGATTACAAAATTGACTAAAAGAAAAATTGGTAACTTTGTCAATATCAAACTTCTCACAGGTGCAGCTCTGTGGTTAAAACAAGGACTGAAGGCTATAAATTTCAAGATTATATTTTTTGATCAGTGCCACATGCTTACCAGTCAGTAGTGAATCTGGCTTCAAAAGGAGCCCCCCTTTTTATTTCTTCACTCCCCACCAAAGATGATTTTGTTTTGGTATTTAGTCTCTCTGTCTAAGATTATCAGATTCCCACTCTGTCATTGTATAACAAAAAACAGCAATCTCTGGCAAGAAGCTTAAGAAAAAAGTTGAAAACAAGATCCCCCTCCCCGCCATGAAAAAAAATGAGTAAAAAAAAAAAAAAACTGGAGTGGATTCCTGGAAAAAAGAAATAGAAATATTTGAGAAATTGTCAAGGATTATCAAAACTGCTTGGGAAGCATTGGAAGCTCAGTGATTGTAGAATGATTTTAGACTGAGAGTCTAAAATCATTCTACAATCACTGAGCTTCCAATGCTTCAGAAAAATTTTAAGGAGTCAGGAGAGAATGATTTCCCCAAACACAATATGGAAACATAACTTTAAAATTTGATATTAAGTTTTGTCAAAATATTGAAAATCAAAATATAAGTTTCATGAGATAAATTTTTACATGACAGAGACAATAAGAAAATGCCTTTCTCATGTATATATGAAATTTTTTTTTTTTCTAAATTGATTTTGTAAAGTTTTCCTTTTAAGTGACTAAACAAATCAAAATGATTGTGAAACTATTTTAAATGCCTTCTCTCTATTACAATAGCAACAGAAGAATGAACATAAAAATATCTCACAATGTCCTTTTATAAGGATAAGTTGATAAAATAGTGTTAGTATATTAAGTAAATTGCAACCATGTGCTGCTGGCTAGAAGTAATTGTATTATAGTGATAATTTTTTACTCCTTTGCCAGCTTGTTTTTTTCTTTCTTGTTTTTTACCTTGCTTATTCCAAATAATGAAACTTAGACCTTTTACTTAGGCACTTTGAATGTCTCTTTAAAGATTAAGAAATGAATAGTCCCTAAAAAAGAAAGTTTACCTAATATTTGCTAATCTGTACAGAAAGATTTAAAAGCGTGATGCCAAGATAAAAAAAAAAGACTTGACTGTTTGTAGGTATGATTGTAAGCAAATAAAACTTTCAGCGTGTTTAAGTACATTGATTTGACAATTTGCTAAAAATTGCGTCAATAAATAACTTAGAATAATTTACTATAGAGACTGTTAGAAATGTATTAAAAAGGTATTGGTTTCAGTCAACATTACAAAAAAATAAATATATGGATGGAAGACTTTGCTATGTGAAAATTTAGGGTTGTTTCTTGATCCAGATTGTTTTGCAGGAAAGTATACAATATTTATAATTCTGGATACACAAGATCCTTCAATTGTTACATCAATCACATTTTAGCAAGTAGGCTTTTTATAGGCTTGGATTACAAGAAGGGCTTTGTGTTTTTTTCTTTTTCCATTGGGTTCAAAGAAAAAATAAAAACAGTAAAAAAAAAAATTTTTTTTTAAAATATATAGCGGAATCTTACCCTGAAGTTGAAGGACAAAGATTTCAGTACTGTTTTTGATTTCAAAGTTATCCTAAACTGGTTGATAACGAAGGCTAGAAAGTCCAGTCAGTTCAGCTATTTCACTCATAATAGGGCTGGGGTGTAGAAGAGACTAGTTCATGCTTTTCAAAAACTTGCAGATGGAATTTAACTTGCCAATTCTATTTTCTATGCGGTTGATCATTAAACACCACCCACACTTCCACACAGCAGAAATTAGTAACCAAACAATTAAAATATCGCATCCATTATAATTTTCTTTTCTTTTTTTTTTTTGTTGCAGGCTCTGTGGGTCCTTCCAATCTAACTTTAGAGGAAGATGATGAAGTTTTTGAGGTAAGTTTTAATATTTTCAGCTCACACTTGACATGTTAATAAAGTCCCTTATATTTTATCAAAGGCTTTTTATGAACTTTATTCAGACAAACATTGTCATTCCTGTTTTAATTATATTCTTGACATATCAGTATTGAATTACCATTGTTACTGTTTTGTAGACATTGCTCATTATAATAAATTAATACCAACTAATTAAGTTTTAAAGTAAACTTTTTTAAATGAGGCTTAAAGATATATTAGATATAGATATTATAACTGATTTACCAAAATCTATCAGTTCTTCAGATATCAATCTGCTAAGCAATTTAAGAACAGTCACTTCTTACCAAAACATTTTACATATTAGATTGGCAGATTATTTTTTTTTTTTTTTTTTCAATATTTGAATTTATTATCATTTATTCAGCAAGTGCATTTTACACCACTGTGGTCACCATTGCTCATGATTCATGGTGACATTCAAGGCAAAATAATGCAATGGCTTGCGGGTTCCTTTTGCAGTGGGAATGTTGAGATTACCCTGTCCCTCCTCTAGAAGTTCCTCCACCCACTGGTAAAGCCATTGAGGCGCAGCTCCTATGTAGAGGCTGGCAACTGGTCAATGGCTGCTTGGTACAGGTGGGTTGGAGAGAAGTGTTCCTCTTCACTAGTCAGGTCGTGAAACCCTTCCAACTACCCTCACACAGTTTAGCCTACAGGTCAGTGCCACTGACTGTGGTGTGACAGTCATAGTACCCATGTGACTTTTTGGAGCCATATGTGAGAGTTAGATGTAGGCTGTGGACCAGTACAGTTCCACATCCCAATTCACTTGAGTAAAGGTACTATATATTTATTTATTTTAATATTTGAGAAAAAATGTGCACTCTCTGACAGGATTTGAACCTACGTCCCCCTAGGAGAAATTGTCATTAAATCTTGCATGCTTTGACCTCTTGCCTATGGAGTGTGTCGAAGGCCAAGCAAAGTTCAAATAGTGTCTTTAAACACATATTTATCCTCGACTCTTGAAGTAGACATATCTGCTAAGTTTCATATTCTAACATAAAGTAATTTCTAAAGAAATGAAGGAATGGATGTTTTATTTATTAATCCGACAGAGAGGTCAAAGCACAACAGATCTAATGATGATTTCCCCTAGTGGAACACACATTTGAATCCTGCCAGAGAGGACATATTTTTCTAACAAGGTTTCTCAAATATGCAGACCAGTAGACAAAAATAAATAAGTATATTTTTTAATAAATAAATGGAGTGTCTACTCAAATATGAGTATCCACTAAAAATAACGTTTAAGTAATAAATACACACATACACACTAAAGTTCAACCAATACAAGGCTCAAGAACCACTCAAGATAGAGGATTCTGGTTAAAATGGTCATAGTGAAAGTGAACTTTATGAGGAAAATGTGGAAGATAACAATTATCCAGTGGATGGACATTTGCATCCCTAAACAATTGTGTACCTCTGTTAATTTTTTCAAGTTACTATTTGTTTTTCAAAGAGGTGTTTAATATAGAAATTTAGACACTAATACCTTTAATTACTCTAAACAAGCAGAAAGGTAGTTACCATAAATTTAAAAAAAAAGAAAAAAGAAAAAAATTTCTTTTCTAAAGCAAGAGAAAATTAATCTTGTAGTTTCAGTTCACTCCAGCAGTGCATACTACAAACATCTAATAGATTCTGGATTTTATAGATTATATTTTTATTTGGAACCCATGGCTAAGTTCTGAAAATCAAACAGTAGTGGAAAAATATTTGTGGGCGAGGAAAATTACAGCTACCACTATCATAAGAAAAATGCCGATGAATCAAAAACATACTGGCGATATTTAGAGCAATCTCGCAACACTGTTAAAAATTTATTTTTATTTAAAACAAAAATAAATTTTTAATTTTTTTTTTTTTTTTTTTTTTTTTATTCCTTTTATTCCGTTTTTAAAAATTTAGGATTACTACCTATGCTTTTTTCAAAATTTATGGTAATTGCCTTTAAAAGTTTCAAAAAATTATCAGAGGTATGCAATTATCCAGGGATGCAAATGTCCAGTACACAACTGTCCTAAAACCCCAGATAAAGTCTCAAACTAAAACTGCAATACTGATAAAAGAAACCTGGGCCTAATAGCAAATCTACCTACTTAGTAAAGTGCCCGAAGCCTAGATTGCCTAAACAAAGCAAAAAACACTTAACAACCTTAAATCCTATGAAAGGATGGCTTTCGTCATAGCCCAAATTCAGACAAAATAAACTTGAATACTTGAAATATATGTAAACTTATGTCCTTATTATATAAATAGATTTTAAATGCTTTTACTTTTTATTAACTTTAATCTGGCTAATAATAAGCACATGCTTTTTTTCTCTGAAAGCTATGTAAGCTAAAAACAAACAAAAAAACTGTAAATATAGCTTATCAACTGATTGTTTTCTTTCTCTTTTAGCCAATTGATCTTCCACTGGAGCGCAAACACAGCTCTTCCCAGTCTGCAAGCACAACCTCCACGACGACCAGCAGCCCCGCACTTTGCTCCTCTCCTGTCTCGTCAACATCACCCACCCAGGAGCATTTTATTAGTTCCAATTCAAGAAACCATTTGCATCGCATCTACATCCAAAACACTTGTACAAAGCCCACATCATCATCATCACCAAATGAGGAGAAAAGCTTAAGCAAGTCAGACAGTCTTGAGACGAGTAGTATGGGAAAAGATGACTGTATAAAAGATGAGCCTATCTCAATAAGCGGGAAATCGGAGATTGGTCTTTTGGAATCGGATGTGGGCATGTCAGAAAAATACTCGTATGTGTGGTTTTCAAAACCAAAAAACCACGATTACCATTATCCAAATCTAGATAGCATAAACAAACCCTCCGATCTCAAGCGGACTGTTATTCGAAATTATGGACCTCCCCTCCCTGAGAAGAGTAAGAAGAAGAAAGACCGCCAAAAGGGGAGTCACCAATCAAACAGGTTACTAAACCGGACGTCCCGATGTAAATACTGCCAGAATACCTTCTCATTGGACAATAATTCTCGAGGAAGCTGTGAATACGCTCCTGATAGTGTAAAGAGCTGTATTGAGCACGTCAGTTGCGTTACATGTGCCAACGGCGTCATCTACCACTGCATGTCCAACGCAGAAGGGGAGTTTACACATACATGCATTTGTGATTTTCAGGACGATAATAACTGCAAGAAGTGGACAATGTTGACAGTATTGTCATTCCTGTTACCTTGCATTTGGTGCTACTGGCCGCTCTTCAGCTGCCATATGTGTGGTAAAAAATCCGGGTGTTGTGGGGGGCGCCACCTTGCTGGATGAGCCAGCCAGAAAAGTACCTTCATGGTGTTGATGATGCTTTATATGCTATATTGTTTGTTAAATATGTAAAGAGAGCTGAAAAAAAGAGAATAATATCAAGTGGAAATGTGGAAAGCAAATAAGGGTTAATTCTGATGACTCTGAATGCTTTGGAAAGATGGTTAGAATGGAAAATCAAAGGAACAGTTTGGTTTTATTTTAAATGTGGGTGGGGGATTGTATTTTTTTTTTTTTTTTTTTAGAAAAATGGACAAAACACAGAAGGGAGACAACTGAGAAAGCAGGAAAGATTGATTAATGGGAAAAAAACAAAAAAAATTTCTCAGTTTTTTATCATTATTTTTTTTAACAATGTTACGATTTTATTTTTTCTTTCTTAAAAGAAAAAGAAAATTTATCATTTTTTTTCACATAAGCCTGTCCCCATTTTTACTCATCTGAGTAAAATAAAATAAAAAAAAATTCTAAAAACTGAATAAAAAATAATTTTAATAAAAAAGATCATAAAGATGCTGTATTCATTTTTTACACATACATTGCAAGTATAAACACATACATATATATATATATATATATATATATATATATATATATATATATATATATATATATATAAAATCATGTGTATATGTGTACATACTTGTAACACACACACAAACATGCATGCACAAACACAAAAAGACGTTTGGATGTAGCATATATAAAAGACTATGTTACAACCATCAATGAAATGTTGCAAGGTGCCCAGGCCAACTGACACAGCATTGTTGTGTTGATTGTTGGTCAGTGATAATAAGACACCACTGCCCCACAAGCTGATCACAGATTCAAACTGTGATATCATCAAAGAAAGTTTGTGTTTTTGTTGAATTTTTTTAAAAATAAAACAATAATAATTATGATGATAATGATGAAAAAAATTAATTACATAGAAAGCCATGTTGTTTAAATAATGGATATGATGCTGATTAAATGAGCAGCAGCAGATGATGATGATGTATAGTTCTGCTAACAAGGCTAAAATTCTTTTTAGTAAAGAATCCATCAGCCAGCAATGATTGATATTCAGGAAATATTTAAATATATATATATATATATATATATATATATATATATATATAATCTGGTTTTGTATTTTTGATGTTTAAGAAATAAGTGAGCAAATACTCTATTCTTTTAACCACGTTTTCACATCAAAGCATCTTCTTAGAGATATTAACTACCTATATAGATATATTAACTACCTATTTTCTGCCTGTTACTACTTATTCATACCTTTTGCATTTTTTCAGTCTTCCTACTAAAATATCTTAACTTTTGTATGTCTCTCTCTCTCTCTCTTCTCCTTCTCTCTCAATTTTTTTATGTTACCCTTTTTTTTGTTACTTTTATTTTTTTCTTAATAACTCCTTCCCACTTTTATAGTCAAAATCTTTACTTTGTCATCTTCATATTCTTGCTACTACTTTTCTAACCATCAGACTGATTGAAAGGAAAAGGACTGAAAAATGCAAATGTATGTATGTGTGTGTGTGTGTGTGTACATACACACACACACACATACATACAAATTGCACACAAACATTTTTATATATTTTTTTTAAATTATTTATTTTTTAATTTTAGATCCACACATTGACACCTACCTGTATATTCTAATACATATTTGGGGGTATTGTGTGGTTTAAAGAAAAAATATTATACATCCCCCCACACACACAAAACACACCAGGCAAGAAAGAACTTTTTATTTTTTTGTCTGGATTATTAATTTTATTAAACAAGAAAGTACTTTAAAATATTCCTAAAAACATTAAAATGTTTCCCTAAGAAAATTTAAGCTATTTTTGAATTCCCAATTAAAAAAAGAAAAAGTTTATGATGGTGAGATAGCAAAATGAACGGTATACAAATATTTGACCAACTATGTACATATATTAATTAATGCACCTGTACACTTGAAAAGAAAAAAAACTATTAACATTTTCTTTAGTTCTAATGTTTTTTGTACTGTTAAAAACCACATTTACCTCCCTTTGTTTCTAGCCCGGTCACCGGTTGTTTGGGAATGTGTCCTGGGCAGTGTCAAGTTGTCCTAACCTCTAACAAAACAGAATTACCTTGTTCCTTGCTGTTGTTATTGTTAGAAGTACAAATATTGCTAGCCGGAGGAGGAGGAGATTGTTACTTGAAGGCTAAATTTATGGAGAGAGAGAGAGGGAAAAAATAGTTTTATAATGTATTTGTTCAGGATGGGAAAACTGTATGGCTGAAATGAATCTGTTGCATGTCAGAGTTCAAAAAAAGAGTTTTATTGAATGGGAGGGATCAGCCTATCAAAGAATACTCAGATAGGCTTAAATGGGGTTTAAGTGCTGGGAAAAAAAAAGAAAATTGATTTTTTTTCTTCAAATAAAATATATTGAAATCCCTATATCCCTATATATATATATATATATATATATATATATATATATATATATACATATATATTCCACCTTTATTTTTTTAAAAGGCTGGCCAGTGAGTATTGTTGTTAATGCATTAAAATATTTATATTATTAAATTTTCTTTTTATCCATGAAACAGTTGAAAAAAATTAAACATTAACTTCTATATTTTCAGTTCATTTATCATTTAATAATTATTCAGGTTATGTGAATAAGAGCCTGATATATTTTTTTTTTTTTTCTTCACCAAGATTCATTAAGGAAATATGCTTCTCCCCCGCTTTTTTTAATGCACTGTCACAGCAGTAAATATGTATATATCTCAAAGTGCAGATTAAACTGAAAATGAAATCTTAGTTGACCAGATCTGATTTAACAACATACAAATGTTAATTTATTATGAGGTGAAAGATATTATTTTGTTGATTTTGATAAATATTCATTTTTTTTATAGATGCAATATTTTAAAAATAGGTTCTGTGCATAAGAAAAGTAGGATGCTGTTTGTTAATTTGTTTTGCATTCATCTTCTGTGCCTGTATAACTTGAAGCAATCAAATTCACTTGAAGTAATTCTTTTCCCAAACTTGACTTTCTACTTTTATTTCAAAGTTCTATGTAACTGGATGAATTAGATGTTTTGATATCTGTTAATTTTGGGATAGTTTCAGATTGACAGTTTCTTTTGTCAGATTACTTGAATCAGCTATAAAAACTCAATATAAAACTTGATTTGTATTCTTTAGGTATTTTGGCTTACAGCCATATTACATTGACACACTGGTTCTCATACAGTCACTGAAGTTAAACAACATTGAGCCTGGTCAGTGCCTAGATGCGTGATTGCTTGGAAATATCAGGTGCTGTAAGTTTGGATGTGCAGGTAGTGTAATGGATAACAGCTCTGAAACAAAGAGCCAAGTTCCAATTCCAGTCAGGTTCATTATATTCACTTATGCACAAATACCCCCAGGAAATGTGTGAATCCACCTCTTCTCCTCCCAGCTATGGGTTAATTAATAGGACTTTTATCAATAAATCATTATTATCTCAAAAAAATTCTTGCAATCTAAAAATATTGTCTAACCACAAAAAGTTGATAAGTCATAAAAAACAAATCAATCAATCTTTAGGCATTTTAATATCATACCCACAACATGTTTCTTGTGTTTAGTTGGGAAAACTACTGCTTCATCACATAAAATAAATTTGATTCATACTGATTTGCATAAATGCTGTCTTTGATGGCTTCCACTTGATGTCAAGTTATTTTTTATGTCTAAGATTTGCATTATTCTTATAAAAACCTTTTACACGCTTGTAATTTATAAAGGAAAGTTCATTAATTAGTACAATGCATTAGTTTTCTCTAATCTTATTAAGAATAATTATTATAAATGCGTTATCATTGGGACACCACTATAGTTTATTGAGCAGACAGGTCAAAGGAAACCAATTTGTTATTAGCAGTTAATAACCCTGGAGTTATCTTCCATGCATATGAGTGGTCATACTTAATTAAAATTTGCTCTGAAATTGGTGACCCAATTTGGGAACTGGTTTAGTTTTCAATTTAAAGCATTTTAATGGTATTTTGCAACAATGTATAGTTTTTACTGTGTTCATAAATACAGAAAATTTGGTTCAGTATTATACAAATGATTATCAGTATCAAAAGCCTAACAAATGTACTGTATATGAATCTTTGCAAATTCACTAGGGATATTAAATAACATAAAAAAAGATGCATAGTAAATTTTGTTCCAAAAGTTGTGAATCTCTAGCAAAATCTCAAAGATGCATTTGATGTTTTTAATAGCATGTCCCTTCAGGATGTAAACAGATATGGCTATCCAGGCTGCTTTTCCTTATGTATAAATTGCTATGACTTCTTGAGAAAGATTGTGGTGTGGTTTCCCATTGCCTTCTCTATGGTTTTGAATTCAGAGTTGTCTTTCTCATAAACTGGTTACCATCCAAGACTGGAGCTTAATCTACATGACTTTTTAACCCATAGCTGAGGGTAGAGAAGAAATAAATTCATGCAATGAAAATTAACTCCTTACAACTCAGTTTGGTTTTCATTTTAAAACTCTGAACACAATGTGCATATCTGGGGATATTCAAAAGTATTTGATGATTTTTAAGTACTTGAAGCTAAGCTTATGAATTTCTGTGCGAAAAACCTTTAACAAACTTGTAATTTATAAAGGAAAGATTATGAATACTAATGGAGTAACTGTTTTTTGTTTTTTTTTTAATTTTTGTTTATTTTCTTCTTTCCTAGTGTTATTATTTTTCTAAATTAAGTTTTTGATTTAAGCTCAAACTTTGGTTGCAACCTGTACTTTGGAGAAAATTTTGTTATTGATTAATTATAGACACACAATTTAGAGATTTATCAAGCTTAGTCTGGCACAGAACTGTAATTATGGAGCATCTAATGTGAATTGAACTCTACATTTGCAAGACCAAATTGTTATTCATGTCTGTGAGGGAGATGCTCTATTACATATGTCAGTTGAGTTGATTTAACTGATAGAATTAAGA